AGAAAGGAATTATGTTTCTTCCTGTTCTACCTTATAATCGCACACTCTAGTTTTTTGAAAATACAAAGAGTTTCACAAAACTAAAATAACCTGTAGCACCATGTATCATTTTCGTACCAAAATACTAAATAAATAAAGTAGTAAATAAGAGGAAATTAATTTAGGACTGTTCTTGTAAATTCTATAACTTTGCAAAGAAAGGTCATGTAGAGCTGGGAGACGTCTCATTTTAATCAGAAATTTGCGGGCTACAATCATGTTTCATTAAAAAGGCGGTTTTGGTTATTCTTTAGAGTTTCTAAAAACTGGTTTTCCAGCAAACCGGGTCTTCAGAAGTCATAAGTACGCGCCTTTTAGGGTATTTACTACGTCACTGAGGTCTACCGATCCACATACAAATCGCTGGAATCGGAAGGGGACATCTCAAATGGTTCCCTCGTAAGTGTCACTTCAGGTGCTGAAGTGTCACTTGACACTTCGAAGTGTGTGCAGCAAAATTGGAGGTTATTTCCCCCTTGGATTAAACGCCGAAAAGAACGCGTTTTCAGACGCGTTTCCGACTTAAAAATATTTACATGGGTGGTATTGTAATCATGGAATGCTCGTTCATTTGTTTAATATTGACTATTGTCTATGTCCTCCCAGCTACTATGGCGATCATTGTCAATATCAAAGTGAGCGTTTCAGTGTTATTATTCAACATTATAAGCTAATTTCATTTGAACCAAATATTGTATTCAAATTACTAGTTACATTAATTGAAAATGAGTCATATGAAATAATTTCTTACGAAGAAGTTTTCTACGTGCGATCTATAGACTGTTTTGTAAAGCATGCTTTTATTTACTGTATCGTCATGAACGAAATAAGGTTACATATAATTATTCTGTACATATTGATGCGTACAGTGTAACAATATTGAGAATTGAACACCAATCATTTTGGTTGTTCGAAATTCCATCTATCGAAGTATTTTGGTACGAAAATGATACATGGTGCTACAGGTTATTTTAGTTTTGTGAAACTCTTTGTATTTTCAAAAAACTAGAGTGTGCGATTATAAGGTAGAACAGGAAGAAACATAATTCCTTTCTGTACGTTAAATTCTATGGCGATAAAAATCTGTTATTTAAATACTTTTAGAAAAAAAGAGATTTTAGCTTGTTGAGTACATTTCCTTTTCGTAGTATCTGTCCGGATATTCATTAATATTATATATATATTTTTCATAGGCTATGATTGATAAAAACCGATTCAACAATCATTTGGTGACGATGCTATATGTAGTACTTTTGCTTTTGTTCATATTTCTCCGATTGATTGATTCTCAAGTACATATGCATGATACGGATCGTGGTATATCGAATAATTTTGGGCGTTTTCAACAGGATTGTCTCTACTACTACGAGAGGACTGGCTATGTTAATACGTTAGTGCCTTATTGTGTTCGATCAAATATAAGTTTTAGGGAAATTTCAACAAAGGTGATAAACGGCATCCCTCTTAAATTTGGTACGTTAAAGGAAATGAATGTGAAAAGTGAAAATTTATTTGATTGGTATGCCCCTATTGATAGTATTGAACAATATCAAGTATATATCGAGTCAAATAATAAAACTGCATCGGAAATATTCTATTATAATTGTACACAACCGTGGTTTGGTTCATACTGTCAATATACGTTTAATTCATCTGAAACATTTAATCACATTGTGTCTCGTAGATTTTCAAACAAAGGAGATGATCCTGAAAAAATTCTTGCAGTTACAAATGGTACATGTTACAATGGATTTGAATGTAATCGTTCATCATGCTTAGACTGGAGAGAAATATGTGATGGTAAATTATGAAAATGATTAATTTTAAGTTGATATTCCATAGAGTCTCTCTTTTCCGATAGATTTATAGGAAAAAGCAAACATTGACAGACAATATGTTGTAAATATAAAAATGAGTAGGTCGTGGTCGCTTTATACTAAGTAAATTTCGTACGTCAATCCCATGTTTCTTTGCCATAAAACTTCTCACTATTATGTTCTGAAGAAAATAGAGGAGTGGAAGCTGATACGGCAACATCCGCTGAAAGACCAAAATTATTAGGATGGGTCTATTCACACTCATGGGTGTGTCAGCAAGGCGCTACTATCGCTCCCTCAGAGTGACAATAGTGCACTCTAGACGCTAAGACAGCTGCTGGATGACATGTATTTCGCATGCACTTGACGAGGGCTATTAGAGAAAGAGGTTCTCGTCTTTGGTCAAGCACTTTTAAAGCACACGAGTATCCTGTAGTATTTTTCCTGCAAAAATACTTTTGTCTGGAAGAGCTTGGCCAAAGGAGAAAGCCTCTTTTCTAATAGCCCTCGTCGAGTACATTCGAAATATATATCATCTCCGTGCTACAATCCGCTGGAATAGTGCAGCACGTACTAAAATTTGGAAAAACGAGGAAAATCGCCTATAAAAGTTGTGGTTGTTTTTCGTCACTAAATGGATTTTAATCACAATGAGAATTCCTTCATCGAATAGAGCTTGAAAAGATGCGTATCTTGTTCTCTTGTGTTGACATGTTTTTATGGAAAAAATATGGTTTATAGAAAATTCCTACTTATCAGAAAAAACCGATTCTTTTAAAATTCTACTGAGAACTTGCTTAACATTTTGGAACTTTTTGTCCGTCAGGAATTTTGCCGCGCTGCACATATCAGTTCTAATCTGACGCTACCGGCTGATGAAAGGTTTGCTAGAAACTGATAAAAATGTCCACAAAAAGTCTGTTCTGCTGGGAAACGGAATCTTCACAGGTCTAGACGACCATCGTGCCGTTTTTTTTAAATCTTTTCAATGTGATAGTCTTCGTCAGTAGCTCGAGCTGCACTAGTCCTAGTACTCTCGAGCTGTTGAGTTAAAGTCGATGTAAATGTGGTACGTTTTCGAAAGAACCACCCCATGTATGGGACTCAACAGCTCCTAGTTGACACTCTTAGGAAGTGCCAATAGTCATTCCGAAATTCTTAATCCTCTTTACCATGGAAAAAATCATCTTTAATGTGATTCATGACGTTGTTGGCAATTGATGAATTAATGAATTGCATTCTTTTAGCCATCTTAGAAGCTATTCTGACAAGCTCTTTTTATTTCATTTTAGGGAAAATTGATTGCTTGAATGGTGAAGATGAACAAAGCTTTTGTTTTGAACTTGAAACAAATGAATGCAAAAAAGGAGAATATCGTTGTCAAAATGGCATGTGTGTACCGGAAAATTTTTTTTACGACACATTCGGTAAAGACTGTATGGACGGAACAGACGAAGTAGTAAATTACGGTGATAAGAACCGATTTTGTTATGAAGATCCATCAATCTACTGTGAAGAATTTTTATCACCTCGTTTTCAGTTTCCATGTGGAGATGGCCAATATACGAGTCAACCATATAAATTTAGCGGATTGTATAATACTTTATCATACTGTGCAAATGTCCGAGATATTCTTCATTTACATGGTCTGTTAACTAGATCAGATGATAATGAAACTGATATGATATCTGTGTTATGTGAAAATTATGTTTCATGTATAGTTGGATTTAGAGAGGATTGTGAATCAATCAATTACATTGAATTAATTTCAAATGAGTGTCCATCAATATTTCTTTTTCCATCGAACCCAATACTCTCATATTCTTTTCGTTTTGTCTATCAATCAAACAAAACAAACTGGCTAACAAATATTGCACCAAATTACATATGTTATGATGAATATTGGTGTAACGAAACATATCCCATAACAATACGGTTGTTCAATAATTCATCATCATGTAGAAAATTTAATGAATTTGTTCAACTGAATGAAACATATAAGAAATGGGGTCATTTACTTGATAATATTCAAAATCTGTTCAAAGCATGTTCATCTCCCGGTTACATCAACTGTAGTTCTCATCCATCATTATTCTCTTGTAATGGTTCATCATCAAAGTGTATCTCAAAACATCGTCTATCAAACGGAATTAATGATTGTATAAACGGTATTGATGAAATCTCCGATGGAACGTGTTCATTGAATTTAACACATAGATTTAAATGTCAAACAAGCGAACGATGCATACCAAGAATGTTATTACTTAATAAGTTTACAGATTGTCCCGATAGATCGGATGAATATCTTTTGCAAAACTGTATCCCTGAAGATACAGCTAGTTGTAGACAAATTCGAGGTGAAATAACATCAACAGATGATTCAATGTTGTTTCAAAAACTATGTAATGGTATTGTTGAATTATTTAATGGAGAAAATAATGAAACAGATGAAAGTAATTGTGCTGATATTTGGCCTACATGTTTAACAAGATACACAATCTGCGATAATATTTGGAATTGTGAGAAAGGTATAGATGAACTAAATTGTTTATATAAACCATATAAATGTGAAAGTCAAGATCAACATTATTGTGCATTAGCAAATAAAACAGAATTAAGTTGTATATCATTGGACATAGTTAATGATGGTAAAATTGATTGTTTAGGCTCAACAGATGAAAGAGAATATTGTAGAAGCGAATATCCAAGTAATCCATATCAGCGATATCGTTGTTTAAATGATACATTATGTATAAGTCCATTACAATTGTGCGATTCTAAACAAGATTGTCTATATGGTGATGATGAAATATTAATTTGTCCATTGTTGAGTAATCTTCTTTCGGTGATAATCGATATTCCCGTCAACATGCAAATCGATAGTGAAAGTTGTTATGGAAATATATTTTGTGATCTCATTGATATACCAAATTTCAAATATCCGTCAACAAAAAATCTTGCTGAATATCCTGCTCGTAACAGCGAAGGTAATTTTTCCTACTATTTCAACTAATTTTTAAAGAATTCATATTCTGTTCTTTCAAAATAACTAGATAACGTTCATCTGTACTTCACTCAATCAGATGACAGAGACGACTCCGTTCTACATTTTTAGTCTGCGTCTAGGAAAATTGATCCTGCCTACTCGCACAAACTCCAGTTCATAGCCGAGATTGATCGAGAAAAAACTCCAATGTGTTGTTTTATAACTGTCTCTATTGATAATTGATGTATCGATTCATCTACTGCTATTGCTTTCGAGCTAATGGAACTACATGAAAGTTCGTTATGAAATCATCCTCTCATGTCCGTGATTATTCGAGGCAAGAGACTGCTATATTTGTACTGTTTTAAAAAGATAACTAAATTGACGTACATGACATAATGAATAAATGAATAAGCCGCATAAATAGTCCTTTCGACAATCAAAGTCCAAGTCTATACCGTGTGGAACAGCGTCCTGCTAACATCATGAATCAGCACATTACTTTGATCCATTTTACGTGCGAGGATAACAGACAAAACCTGGTAAGAGTAGGCCTTGGGATGTACACGTTTCTGACTTTGTTTCATTATCTGAGTCACCTAGGAATAATCTATAACAAATGCCGTATTTATTAAACGAGTCCTTCAGAACCTACGACCTTCAGATGAAAATTTTACAGCCAATAGCATATTCGGTATACTGATAGATGATTCTTGTGACAGAGAAGTTTCCATGCTGCTAATACGCAGTCGATTTGTTGTCCGTCCCAATTTGGCCTCGAATTCCTGTAATTTCTTTCAATGGGAAACTTATTCCCTTTCTAGGTCTCTCATTTAGCGCCAGTTTTAAATCATATTTGATCTCTATGCACACGCATGTATAAAAAACCGATCAATATTCAACTATTATATCACAAAAATTCTACTAAAAAATTAATATATGCGTTATATTTGTTCGCAAGTGAGCCTTGAATTTAGGAAAAGATTGAAACATTTGATATGACGGCTAAAATTTCATCGAATTCTAGCTTAATCGCACACTCTTTTTTTCGAAAATACAAAGAGTTTCACAAAACTAAAATGACCTGTAGCACCATGTATCATTATCCTACCAAAAATACTTCAATAGATTGGTGATTTCTTTATTTTTAGATGGTATAAAAGCGTTAGTAGAAACAAAAACGTCTTTGTCAATAATACACAATGAGAGTGCTGCTATGTCAGAACAATCATTATCTAAAACTAGCACGGACAACGATGAAAATACTTATCGAATATCATGGTATTGTAATCGTGGAATTCTGACTCATACTTCGTTTAATATTGACTATTGTCTATGTCCTCCCAGCTACTATGGCGATCGTTGTCAATATCAAAGTGAGCGTTTAAGTGTTATTATTCAACTTTATAAGCTAATTTCATTTGAACCAAATATTGTATTCAAATTACTAGTTACATTAATTGAAAATGAGTCATATGAAATAATTTCTTACGAAGAAGTTTTCTTCGCGCGACCTGTAGACTGTTTTGTAAAGCATGCGTTTTATTTACTGTATCGTCATGAACGAAATAAGATTAAATATAATTATTCTGTACATATTGATGCTTACAGTGTAACAATATTCAAAATTGAATACCAATCATCTTGGTTGTTCGAAATTCCATTTGGTTTTCTTCCTGTTAACCGTTTAGCAGCTGAACTCGCAATTCTGGACCATAGACTCGAAAACAATTTACAATGTAATGAGTTGAATTGTGGTGTCAATGGTTATTGCAACCAGTATATGAATTCGGAACGTCGTTTTTGTCGGTGTAAAGAAGGTTGGTCGGGTAAATTGTGCAACGAGAGTGTACAGTGTCAATGTGCGCGCGGATCTGTTTGTGTTAATTCAATATGTGTTTGCCCGTCAGGAAAAATTGGTCGATTATGTCATGTACCATTTCAGCCGTGTGAAAAGGTTACATGTAAAAATGGCGGAACATGCGTAATAATAAGTGATGAACGATCACTAACACCATATACGTGTGTTTGTAAACTAGGTTATCACGGTATACATTGTCAGGAATACTCAGCCCGTATACACATATCATTTACTGATGTAACAATTCCATCTGCTATTGCTCTACGTGGCATTTTTGTTCCTCATGAACTTGATAATGGTCCACACAATCAGGGTTCCAAGGTCATACGCATTGCACCATATCAAAAGAATATAATCGGGTACTTTTCACACCGGCTTCTATTTCATATTATCTTTTTACAAACTATTGATAATCAAAATGATCATTACCTTATCGCGCTATCTAAGCCTGCAATACTAAAGGAATTATCAACAAAAGTTATTCAAGAAAATCGTTGTCAGAATATTCCTAAAATATTTAATAATACAGTTATGTCTATGGCTAAAATGAATAGAATGAAATATTATCATCTAGCATGTCAACAACATCAACCATTGCGATGTTTCTTTGATGAAATGTTAATGTGTTTATGTACTAAAGAAAAACTGGCTGACTGCTTTCATTTTGAAAATGCTTTAGACGGTTGTAATGGTACAAGTTATTGTCAAAACAATGGAAAATGTATAAAACAGAGTACACAATGTCCAACAATGTCTATTTGTATCTGTGAAGAGTGTTATTATGGAAATTTATGTCAATTTACAACGTCTGGTTATGTTTTATCGTTAGACGCTATTATTGGTTTAAATATTCAACAAGGCGTTAAAGTCAAAAATCAAATATTTATTATTAAACTAACTGTGATTCTAGTTGTAATTATATTCACATTTGGTTTAATATTTAATCTATTATCAATTGTAACATTTTGTCAATCAACTGTTCTTGACAATGGATGTAACTTATACTTACTTTATTCTTCAATCATATGTTTATTCAGTGTATGTATACTTGGAGCAAAATTAGTCTATTTATTGACAACACAAATTAATTTATATCCAAATCGAACAATTGCTCATATTAGTTGTATTTTGATTGAATTTTTATTAAGAGTTTTACCAACAATAAATGAATGGTTAAATGCCTGTGTAGCTATTGAACGCGCTCTTATAGCTACTATCGGTATGAAACATAATAAAGTATCCAGCAAACGGCGGGCAAAATTTCTGATAACTTTAGTAATAACTGTCGCTGTAATTACGTCAATACATGATCCAGTTAATCGTCGATTAATTGATGATCAAAATGATGATATAGCATCCATATGGTGTGTAGCTAGTTATGATCAAAAGTGGCTTAAAATGTACAATTCAGCAGTGAATTTCATTCATTTTATCTTCCCATTTGGTATTAACATAATATCTGCTATTTATATTATAATTCAAACAACTCGTAAACGATCAAACACAAAAGCCGAACCGAATCTGGTTCTAAAAACAATGTTTCGTGAACATCAACACCTTCTTATTAGTTCATTTGCACTTTTTCTATTAGCATTACCACGTTTAATTATATCATTTATATTTGTTTGTATAACGCCAAGAGAACCATACTTGTATTTAATTGGTTATCTAATATCATTTATGCCGCAAATAATTATATTCTTCATATTTATACTACCATCAAGTAGATACAAAACACAATTCGATTTAATTACTCAACATGTACGAACAAAGACAACACGAATGATAGCAAGTATATATGAGTGAATTGTGAAAAAATAAAAACACATTAAATTTTTATGGAAGACTAGGAGAATGTTCATAAATTGCCCCATCACTGTTCCAAGCCTATCTCCTCCAGAAAATTTTGATTCTTTCATATTGTAATTGATTCGCCTTGAGATGAAGAACAAAGTACGCTGAACGTTTTCTGCTATGATGTTCCATTCTGAACAAAATTCATTTTTTCTAAATCTGTGAGGAAAAAGTCAGAATTCTGCTCCTAATTCTCAATTTTCTCCATCAGAACTCAACTTTTATGCAATAAAAATAGCGTATTCGGAATCAAGTTCAAAACTGACGAGGAACCCTTTCCAACTGTCTAATCGCTTTCTGGTCAAAACCTAGTGGGTTGTAGGTTATCGACCATGGTGATTCAGAATGTCCGTATAAGACGGGCCACTAGGCCTTCCTAGAGTGGTTTTCTTATTTGTCTTATTTTAATCAGAATTTCGTGGGCTACAAGCGTGATTTTTTAAGGGAACGTTTTAGGGACTTTTGGAGGTTTCTGGAAAACCGGTCTAGAAAGGTCTAGTGGCCCGTATCATATTGATATTCTGAATCAGCGTGACCGATAATCTACAACCCACTAGGTTTCGATCAGAAAGCAATTAGACATTTGGAAAGGGTTCGTTGTGAGTCGACCAATTAGAAATTTTACCTCAGCGATGTGTACTTTTCGTTTTGCTGAAAAAAAGAGAACAAACAACCGTCCTGTAGGAATACTGCAGTCAGATAATCAGTTCAACAACTATTTGAGTGTGCATGTTCGCCAAATGAGGAATAATAAGAAACTAAACATCGGTGTATCTGTAGTAAGATCAAATTAAAATTGATTCTACTATGGAAAATTTCTCCAACTATCAAATCACTATCTCACTGAAATATATTTTTATCTAAAAATGGAGACTCATGTTCAATATTCCGATCAAGAGCACAATTACTTTTCCACGGTTATTAAAAATTTTAATCAAATTTGAGTTTTCTGCCGAAATCGAACATCCCCTCAAACAAACTATGGTTCCACAAAATAGCAACATTTAATTAGGTACTCTAATTAGAAAAAAGAACAAAATCAACCATTGTTAGTGTTCACTATAAAAGATTTATGTAAATTCTTTGAAAGGACTTCTTTCTCTCTAATGATTATCAATTAACTTAGTATTTAGATCATTTAATCTTTCTCTAGCACACCACGCAATCTTTCATCAATGGCAATATCTTCCATTTGCTCTCGACTATTTAAAACTAATTAAAATTCAGAAATATTGGATAAGTATACTAATAATTGTTAAAAATTCCGATCTATAATGTTTTGTCGGTTCTAAATATTAAACACTCGAAAATAGAACTATTTATTTAAGACCAGACATGATCATATCAAGCAATCCTAGGTGTTGAATATTACGAAATTGTTGTTGTTGTCGTAGAGTAATCATTATTAATCGTTGTATAAATGATGAATAATCAGCTAGAAATAAATGGAAGGAAACAGAACAGACGAAGACAGGACATTCTCGACATACTCAATGAAAAACGGTTTAATTTGTTCGAACGATGTTATTGTAGAAATATTGTTAAAAATTCAGTACTTATGAACATCAATGTAATAATCTTAGATAACATCAGAATTGAGCTTCATACTATGTTAATCACTTTGAGAATCGTGCCTTGATATGAATTTTGAATTTGGACAATATGGCATACAAATATATCGGTTGTAATTTAAGCAATTGGTTTAACAATGATTGCCATAAATGACTAGTCTGCAATAGAATTTCGTTAAATCATAGTTACTATGTGATTCATTCGATAATATAAACATAAAATGTTCCAATGTCAAACATTATTTAACTAAATTTTTCAGTATCTCAAAGCTGTTAATATTACAATTACATAGTTTTAAATAAACTTAATTTTCTTGATGATGTTAAGATAATATTTTTAATAATACGCAGACATATGAAAAAATTTTTTTTTTCTAATTTGATATTAAACGAAGTACTTTTATTCCATCGTTTGTTTAAACAACGTAAGGAACGTTTTATCAATACTTGATAATGATGCGAGAAATAGAGGTAGACGACAAACTAATGAAGATATTTCATTTTTATGAGTTTTTATGTTGAAATGTGATATTAGTCTAATTTCAGCTTTATTTATAAATTCATCTAATGATGGACGAACAAACGCCACCATTTGAAGTTATGGAAAATTTTGATACGAGAAAATTGTTGATTAGATTCAACGTTTCCAGAGAACCTCTGATGATTTGAAAAACATGGCCACTCGTCGTTTTTTAACTATACGGGTATTTCAAAACTAGATTTGAATGAAAATTCGAAGCTTTATCGAAAAATGTCCTGCCCTGTCATGATATAGCTCAAAAGAAAACTAACTTCTTAGCAAGGAAGCATAACGAACTAAATTAATTTCTTGTTACTTTTGTAGCTTTGAGCTGACAATGAACAGGACTTTTCTTGTAAATTCTATAACTTTGCAAAGACAGGTCGTGTAGAGCTGAGAGAGGCCTCATTTTAATCATAAATCTGCGGGCTACACTTATGCCTCATTAAGAAACATTTTTGGTTACTTTTTAGAGTTTCTGAAAAACTGGTTTTCCAGAAAACCGAGTCTTCAAGAGTCATCGAATCCTTTTAGGCTTTTTATCAGCTCGATGCCCTCTGTCGATCAACGTATGAGCGAATGAAATCGGAGATACTTCCATAGGTTTCCTAGCTAGCTTTTTCCCTGGCTATCTGTGGGTTAGAGTGAAACAAAAAAAATTGGCTTCATATTTAGACGAAAAAAAGTAGAAAGACTTGCAGAATATCTAAGCGGCTCGATGGCATGTGCCCGAAGCCAAAACATTTTAATGATCACGTTATATTTGAAGACTGTCAAATGTATGTTTCTAGACTCCGTTTTTGATGATGAATAAGAAAAAATAGTTTGAAAAATACAAAGAACGATAAAAACAAACTATTTGTAGTTTTCTAAAAATGTGACGTTTTTCCCTGTATTTGAAAAAATCCAATATTTTTAATTTTTTCCTCACTAAAATGTTTTTTTAAACAAATAAATCATACATATTCTTACTCACCGCAATGCACTCTATCTATCAATGTATAAAGATCTCGAAAAAAAATTGCACTGCACTGTTGAATTACCGACACCTTACTTTTTTCGAAATTTCATTTGTGTCTGATGTAACATACGTTGATGATTGACGTTAACGTCCTAGTCATCATTCTGTAGGAAATTTTTTAATTTTCTAAAGCAAAGTGTAATTAAGGTAAGACTAAAAATAAAAAT